CAGGCGCGCGAAGTGCACCTTTTCGTCATGAGACGCGGAAGCTCAGCCACGGCACCTGCCTGCTGGGGGCCCGCATCTCCAACCCGCAGTGGGCGCAGGCCAGGCTCCTCGATGCACGGGAACAGAGGCAAGCACGCTGCTGCGGAGCAGAGAGGGGCACCTTGTGGCACCGCCAGTTCGGCGGCCCTGTGCAGGAGGCCCAGCGGCACGACAAAGGCCGCTGGCTGCCTGCGCCTAGGCCACCGCAGGGTCGCCGCCCCGACGCCATGGGGGTGCGTGGTGTCCGCAGGCCATCCGATGAAGCACAACGGCAAGCTGTACCACGACGGCGCGACGCTCGAGCCGCTGTTCGGCGCCTGGCGCTATGAGGGCGGAGCCACAGCGCACCGCGACGGCGACGGCAACCTGGTGGCAGAGGTCTACAGCGCAGTCGGGCGTGACCGCTGCCCGCAGCGGACGGCCAAGGACGGCGAGGACTTAGCGGCCTGGATGCTCGACACCCTCGCAAGGCCAGCAGCGGAGGAGGTCAACATCGACTGCTCGAGGCATGCAGTGCTCGACGGGCGCCTGACGGAGGCCCAGAGGCGCGGCAACGAGCACGCAGACCGCCTTGCCGTGAAGTGGGCCCAGACGCATGCAGTGGGCGAGCGGACCGTTGGCATGTACCAGGCGCAGGCAGGGTTCGTGCTGGAACTCGGGCGCAGGGTCTGGTGGGCCGCCAGCCTCGCGCAAGGCGTCGAGGCCAGGGACGGCGAAGGGCTCCCTCCTGAGGCCGAGCGGCGCCAGGAGCCAGGAGCGTTTCGCCGACGGCGAGAGGCCTCAGGCGGCGGAGGAGGCCAAGGGCGAGGGGCCGTCGGCCGAGCCTTCAGCATCCTGGGACATGCCCTGTCCTACGCCTGCGCTGGAGAAGTGAGGACACCCAGGAGCTCGTGGCGTGCTCCAAGTGTGGCGCCTACGTGACGCTGGGCGGCCGCTCAGGGGTTAAGCCTCGCCTCAAGGAGCGGTGCCCAGGCGACAAGACCGACAGGGGCGGCAGGAACCAGCGCAGCCTGTGGCTACGGGGACTCCATCCTGGCGGCAGGAGGCAAGAGGGGTCACGAGCTGCAAGGCACAGAGTGAAAGGAGAGGGTATCCCCACGCTGCGCTCGCAGGGGCCAGTGCCACAGCACGCGCCGGAGCGGTGCCTGGAGTGGCTTGGCACTGCAGCGGAGCCAGCTGCAGACCCCTCGGCCACGGCGAGCAGCGCAGGCAGCGCCCCAGCGGCAGCTGCTGAGCCGCGAGCGGCTGCGTGCCCAGGAGGAGGCCATGCGGATGCGGCCGTCGCTGCGGCCGCCGCCAGCTTGCCCAAGCGGCGCCCAGCTGCAGCGAGGGAGGAGAGCCTCGGCGAGCTCGGGGTTGTCGACGAGGAGCCTGCCGCCGCGGCCGGCCCTGCAGGCGGAGCCCTGGAGGGCCGCAGAGTACGCCGCCGCGTGGCGCGCCGTGGCGGCCTGCCCGTGAGTGAGTGAGTGAAAGGTTGCATCGCTGTGGCTCGCGCCTGCTGCTCCATTTGGGAGCAGGCTTCCGCCGCTCTCGGTGCCTTTGGGACTCGGCGTCTCTCGGGAACGCGGGTCCCGTCTGGCCCTGTCCGTGTGCTTGCACTTTGCCATGAAGGCCCCGTCTTTTACTTTCATTTTAACACATAGGAGCACGGCAGAACACGCAGGATTACGAAGAACACGGCAGAACACACACAATACATAGGAGCACGCAGAACACACAGGAGCGCGGCAGAACGCACAGGAGCGCGGCAGATCACACGAACCACAAAGGAACACGGAAAAACAAGCAACAGCACGGCATAACTCACATGAGCAAGGCAGAACACACAGGAGCACGGCAGAACACATCGGAGCACAGCAGAGCAGGTCCAGGGCAGAACACAGGAGCACGGCAGAGCACGCAGGAGCACGGCAGAACACACAGAACATCTACTCACACTGCTGCATCCACAGGCACACGCACGTAGGCACACGCACACAGGCACACGCACACGCACTCGCACACGCACGCATAGGCACATGCACGCACGCACGCACACACAGACACACACACACACACACGCACACACAGAGAGGCAACATACGTTCACGCAGACTGCAGGAGCACGACAGAGCAGGACGGAATAACACAACAGTGCCGCAGACCACCACGCACGGAATAACTTGCACATTCCACGCACGCACGCGCACGCGCAAACGCGCGAACGCCACGACATATCTGCGGGGCAGAACAACAAAAGAGCATACTTCATATACCTAGTCAAGTTATTTTATCTGCTGCCAGCGGTTTGCAGCGCCTCGTCCGTAACAGCCGCTGGTATGGTCAGTCTGATCGCCCTGAATGGCCACCGCAGTTCGGCGATTCATCCTTGGCGTGCCCGCTGCTCATCGGGCTGCTTACAGTCAGCCTGGATTAGGAGGTCGACCCTGCCAAATCAAGGGTACACTTGTGTCCTGTGTCTCGCGGCCCATGCCTCCGACATTCCTGTGGCAATGAGGCCCTCGGAAGGGTCTTGTGTCCTCTCGCGTGTCCTGTCCAATCAAGTCGAACTGCACGCGGGATAACAGAAAGCAGCAGCAAACCGGAATGATTGGCGCCATGCCGCCATGCCTCACGTTCACCGGCGCACCGCCACTGTGCGACCCTGTCGCGTGCGGCCGGCATCCCACAGACGATTCGAGGATCGCGAGCAGGCAGATTAGCCAGCGCCCCAGCGGCCCCTTGCCTTCCTCGGGTTTCAGGAGCAGTCTTCCCCTGGGCTCCATAGATGCCCGCGTCCACGCCCCGCGCGCCTCAAAACGACACAGCTGAAGGCGGACACAAGTCAGATAACAAACAGATCAGCTGCAGAAGCCCCGAAACCATGTCCATGGAGCCTCATGCGGGTTACTTAGCACCACCTTGGGACTCTCTTGAGGCCTTTTTCGGGGGGCTTCGGGTCTCTTGTGGCTTTCTCATATGCCCTTTTCAGTGCTTTTGAGGCTCTCTTGGGGTCATCCCGGAGGCAGCCAGCATTGACTACCATCGTTCCTCCTTTGCGCCCAAAAAGATGCCTCTTGGGCCAATCTTGGGGTACTCTTGTGAGCCTTCGGGCTCTCGTGGGATTCTGTTGAGCCCTTCTTCGGCAATATTGCAGCCACCTGGAAACCTGAGGGGTCCGTCCGAAACCAGAATGCGAGAGGGTGAACATCGTCTAAACATCATTCAAATGATGTTAGCCTCTCAGAGGCATGGTTGGGAGGCCCCGTGGCCACCTCTAGGCTTCTTGATGCGTTGGAGAACGTGTGGGCCAAACGTATTGTCATGTGCCATCTTGCATGCCATCCTGGGACATCTGGGGCCATCTCGGAGCCGGCGTCGGCTGGTATGGCTCGAACAAGGCACTCTGTGAAGGGGATGCGTCAGTACTGCCTCTCCGTCTTCGTTGATTCGTCTCCATCTCCATCCCGTCTCTGCCTCCGCCTCGTCTCCACCTTTCCCGCCCTCTCTGTCTCCTGGCGTCGCTCGGACGCGTGCATCTTTTTCTGCGGCGAGGACCATCGAGGAGCATCCTTGATCCTTTGGCGAAAAAGCCCCGCGCGAAACCGAAAAAAGACACAGGGAGTGGACGTCCGAGCGATGGCGAGGCCTGCGCTCGTGTTGTTTCCTGCCTGCCTGCCTCCCCCTCCACAGCGCTGACCCTCAACGGGAGCTCGCTGAGACCCCCGTCCGCGCTCCGTCGAGCCGATGGCGCCCCTCGCCCTCCTCCTCCTCCTCCTGCTCCTCCTCCTCCTCCTCCTCCTCCTCCTCCTCCTCCTCCTCCTCCTCCTCCTCCTCCTCCTCCTCTCCTCCTCCTCCTCCTCCTCCTCCTCCTCCTCCTCCTCCTCCTCCTCCTCCTCCTCCTCCGCCCCCCGCCCCTGCTCCTCCTCCTCCTCTCCCCACCCCTCTCCCTGCCGGGCCCCTTGCATCCCTCCCTCTCCCGTTCCCTCGGGGGCAACGTCAGGGGGTGATGGGCTCAGGGGGCGGTGCATCGACCCCCATTCGCCCCATCATCGCCGAGGAGGAGGAGGAGGAGGAGGAGGAGAGAGGAGGAGGAGGGAGCAGGAGGAGGAGGAGGAGGGAAATGAGGAGGAGAGGAGGAGGAGGAGTCGCCGGGGTGGCCAGCCCAGCCCAGGAGCGTGCGGTTACGTCATGGTGAGCCTATCGCCGATCTATCGGTGATGCATCGACGATTCCAGGTCGATACTCCCCCCCCAAGCCAGGCCCCCATACAGCATCGTTGCTCATCATTCCCCCACATCTCAGCTATCTCCCTCCCTCCCACCCTCCTTGACTGACGCACCGCGCAGTCGCAACTCAACTATCGGTACTCAATAGTCTTGGCAGTTCCAGTCCTGGCTGCCCGCATCTCGAGTCATCTCCCCCCTCCCCTCCCTCCCCCCGTCCTCCCGTCTTCCTCCCCCCCCCACCCTCTCCTCCCCCTCACCCCCCCCCCTCCCGCCCGCCCCCCCCCCCCCCCGCCCGCCCCCCCCCACCCCCCTCCTGCCCTCCAGTCCGCCCCCCGTGCTCATCCGTTCGCGGCTCTCTCTGCTGCTCCTCCCATATCCCCCCACCCACCCACCCACCTGCCCATCCCTCCCCCGCCCATCCACCCATCCGCGCCCCCCCGCGTCCCCCTCCTCCTCCCCTCCCTCCTCCTCCTCCTCCTCCTCCTCCTCCTCTCCTCCTCCTCCTCCTCCTCCTCCTCCTCCTCCTCCTCCTCCTCCTCCAACTCCCTCCTCCTCCTCCTCCTCAGCTCCCTCCTCCTCCTCCTCCTCCTCCTCCTCCTCCTCCTCCTCCTCCTCCCCTCCTCCTCCTCCTCCTCCCTCCTCCTCCTTGTTATCCTCCTCTCCGTTGCCTCGCTCCCCCTCCTCCCCCGCCCGCCGCCAGGCGCCCGGCTGCCCGGGCTGCCGCCGATACCCGGGGCGGGCCTGCCGCACGGCATGCCGCCGGGCATGGTGCCCTCGCCCCTCCTCCTCCTCCTCCTCCTCCTCCTCCTCCTCCTCCTCCTCCTCCTCCTCCTCCTCCTCCTCCCCTCCTCCTCCTCCTCCTCCCTCCTTTCCTTCTCCTCCTCCTCCTTTCCTCCTCCTCCTCCTCCTCCTCCTCCTCCTCCTCCTCCTCCGCCCCCTCCTCTTCTCCTGCGGCGGCCGCGGGCGGGTCTGCTGAGCAGTTGGTGATGACGATGATCAGGAGCGAAAGAAGGACGTACACGTACATGAGTCCGAATTGGTTTTGAGAGTACGCATCGCGCGAACGTTCGTATCACGCGGCTGGTCTCGTGGATTGGGGGGCCGTGTTCATGCACATGGTTGGGCGTGTACGTCCTTTGTGGGCGCCCTAGATGATGACGGTGGTGGTGACGCTGGTGGCGATCAAGATGATGTTTGCAGTGCCGTTGGCGACGACGATGCTGATTTTGTTGATGTGGATGCTGATGATGTTGATGACGTGGTTGGTGGTGATGCAGATGTTGATGATGATGAGGAGGAGCGCTAGCATAAGGAGGATGAGGAGAAGATGAAGAGGTCGAGGAGGAAGGGAGATGGGATGGGTAAGAATATAGAGTGTCATGATGAGGATCATGCTTGCACATGAAGAGTATGCATAGCATGTGTATGAACAGACAGGGTAAACATGAAAGGAGAAGCCAGTTGATGACCATGAGAAGCACTGCGGAGATAAAGAGGATACGAAGCAGGAGTACTATGTTTTGATGGTCATGTTTTGATATCGAAAGGATTGCAAGAGAAGAAGGTGAACCCAGAACTCTCGACGGTGCAAAGCTCCATGCTCAAAATCAGCGGCAATTGCACGCCCTGCTTGCATCGGCCACCCAACGATCGGGGACGAGGGGGGAACCCAGGGATCCAGGGACCGTCAACCTGGAGGGAAAGCGTCTGCCCCAGAACACGCCAACCAGCGGAAGGCAGCGCAAGCATCGAGGCGCGAAGCGGCAAGGTGTACCTCAGCATCTCTCCAGGTATGTTTGCTGCCAACGTTTTGGTAATCCAGGAGATGGGGGACCAAGGCCGGCGGGGACCCAGGCCGTGCGAACCCGCCACCGCACCAGAACGTACGGACACCCACAGCACACGAGCCCATTCCAGGGGACAGGAAGCTGCGGAGCGAGCTTCAAGCCTAGAAGCGGTACCATCAGTTGTTCCACGGCTCAGAGCGACAAGGCCGAGCATACTAACGCTCCCAGCCTTCAGCAAAACGAGCCGCTGAAGCTCCAGAAAACGGTGTTCAAGGCGGAAGCGAACGGCATCAAAAGACGGCGAAGGAGCGTGGAAGAGGATAAGAGTATGTGGGATAATGTTGTGGTTGTGGGGGGGAAGGGGGTGGGGTGAGGAGGAGGAGGAGGAGGAGGAGGAGGAGGAGGAGGAGGAGGAGGAGTGCGGAGCAGGCGAGCCCATGCGGCAGAGGCGGTGGAGGAATAGGGGGAGAAGGAAGGGGACCATAGTAAACCCAGGATGCGCCAACACTGCTGAGGTGCCCCCCCCTGCCCTAACGCGTTCCTGCAATCCCATCCAGTCGCAACAGGGAGCTCCTCCTGAACATCGAGCACCCAATGGGCCTGCCGTTCAATCGAGAGCCCTGTTCTGAAAAAGAACTGGTTCGGTTCGGTTCTAGCGAGCGAGTGCGATAGGTAAACTTTCAAGTGTCCACAAATTCCCCAAGGAGCGACCCGATTTGAAAATGAGGCGCCACCCCGTCCGTGTATACATTACGCAATACCACACGTGCCATCATACGTGAGGAGGCATCAAGCGAACACCGTTGATGCGAAAAAGAGTATCACTACGTCCGTACCGTCGTTCAACGATTTCAAACTTAGAGCTTTGATTTGTGGGGAATCATGACGGGTGTGCGTTTCGCTAAGGCGAGCTCTTGAAAAATGTTGGGCGGTTGTGCGCGTCGTCTGGCGATGCCTACAGTTTGAAACGAACCGCACTCCATGATTGAAGCTGGTTCACTTTCCCCCATCCAGTTCGTGCACTTAGCGAGATCAGGGCTCCCGCTGGAAGAGGGAGGAGAGTACCCGTCATACCACCTTCGCCCAGGGGGCTGGAGGGAATCGTTTTCGGGAAAGCCACTTTCTAATTATCCTGACCAGCCCACCCAGAGAACATGTTCATGCCTTTTGTCGCGAGAGTGGAAGTGGAGGAGCATTCGTGAATCACCGACGGTCATTGGTGGTCACTCGTCTTTGCTCCTGCTGGTTACAAAAGACTGGGAGACCAGTCACATCGAAGCCCGGATCAGCCCGCGCAGCCTCTGAGAAAAAAATTGGGTTCTTTGGGGAATCGTTTGTGGTTACCTTGGTGCCGAGTTCTTGCGTCATTGGGGCCCGTTTGGCCCTATCTTGGGGTGCGCTTGGGAGCCGTTGCTCCCTTCTTGGTGCCCTGCCAAGCCACCTTGAGGCCACCTCGAGGCATTTGAGGGCCATCAACAACGAAAGGCGAGAAGGCCAAGATCATTCAAACACGTAGTAGATCCGGTTGTGCTGGCCTCTCTGGGGCATCATTGTGAGGCTTGGTTTGTTATTTCGAGCATATTAGGGGCCAGGAGCCATGCTGGATGCTGTCTGGATTAACTTGGGCTCCCGCCACGCATGCTTATCATTGGGTCGGTTGACGTAGTGATATGCGAAAATGGCAGCCTCGCTTCATCTTCACCTGCGACTCCGCTGTCGATATCCACTACGCTGTTCGATCAGAACGGCCTGACTTTGGAGGTTGGGCGTAGACAGCGAGGGTCTGGGAATAATCGTGTCGATTGCCTTCCAGCATGCATTTTCCAAGGAGGCGAGGCCAGTGGGTGGTGCGGCCCCTGGACGGGCCAGCTAGGCTGGGCCAGGAACCAATACGGTCTGCAGCAAGTTGGGTGTTCGTTGGGACTCGAGAAGTTTTCCAGACAGTAGACGGGTCTAAGGCTTGCGTTTGCAGCTCGCGCTCCACCGCGTCTTGTCGATAGCAGGTGTGATGGGATCGCAGAGCATTCTTGACTGGTCCAAGGAAGCCTGGGGCACAGGCTCCCACCATGCACCCCATTGTTTCGCAGCTTGGTGCCACAGCAACACGCATGCTGATTTGAAGGAGGCGGTTGAGGAGCGAGGGACAGAGGAGAGGAAGGAAGCGGATGGGAAGGAGCAGGCGAGAAGATGAGGACGACGAGTACGACGACGAGAGGGGGCACAGCAGCATGAGCGGCAGCAGAGGAGCAGGAGGAGCGGGAACTGCAGGCGGGGAAGGAGCAGGATACGGAGCAGGAGCAGGAGGGGAGGCGAGAGGAGGAGGAGGAAGAGGAGGAGGAGGAGGGGCGCAAGGGGATGAGCAGGAGGACGAAGGAGGAGGAGGAGGAGAAGGAGGAGGAGGAGGAGGAGGGGAAACGTCGGGAAGCGAGGCAGGAGGAGGAGGACATCAAGGAAGTTGAGGATGAGGGAGGAGGGTGGGGAGGGACGAGAAGTGAGGGGTGAGGTCGTCAATGCCCCCCCCTGCACAGGTGCCCCCTCCAGGCGCCTTCCCGGGCGGGTTCCCGGGCGGGTTCCCGGGCGGGTTCCCAGACATGGGTGCCACGCTCACACAGCAGAAGGCCTTCGAGTACGAGCAGGCGGGCTGGCGTTCGTGCGGCCGCGCCCTTTTTCCCCTTCCTCCCTCCTCCCTCATCCATCCCTGCTCCATCCCTCCCTCCTGCCCGCCCTCCCCTGTCATTCATCCCTCCCTCAGCCTCCTTCCACCCCTTCTACCCTTCCTCCTCTTCCTCCTCCCTCTGCGTCTCCACTCTTCCACGCCCATCTTCCCTGCAGTCATCCGCGCTGCCGTGCCCCCTCCAGTGTATCTGCTACGCATAGGTTGCTGCTCCAGGCTGGGAAGCCAATGTCCAATATGTCTCGCCGTTCTGGTTGAAGGATGAGCTGCCGCCTCACTCGCTCACACTAAGTTCCGAAGCGCGGCGCTTGGCTGCCTCTGAGTACCGCTCAATCAGTAAAGTTCTTGTGACAGTCAAGTTGCAATACAGACTTCCAAACTTCCTGGGCATGTGTAGCAACGCATGCAGAGTTGTGAGCCGGCGCAGCGCATGTAGCTTCGCGCACTGAGTACCGCCTGCTCTTCAGAGGACCGCTCCTACTGGAGCTGGCGCGCAAGACTGAACTGAACTGAAACCTCAAGTGCAAAGACGAGGGATAGTGAGGAGTAGGATCAGGAGGAGGCGGAGGAGTGTTGAGGCACCAGACGTCAGTCTAATAGCTTGTAAGGGCTGATATAGGAACTCGCCAGAGTGTCGCCGCAATCAGACTTGCGCGCTTTCCGATCGTGAGGGATGGTCGGCTCTTTCGCGAGCCCGTCTTGGCTCCTTCGGCAATGTGCGACTCGTCCTCGAAGGTCCGCTTCGTGCTCGTGCGCGGGCCCCCCTGCAGTCGGGGCCCTGAAGAAGGAACCCTTTTCGTTGGGGAGGAGCTCGGCGTTCCTTCAGTGCTTCGCAGCTTGCCTCAGGCTTTCCTTGTGTTTTCGACAGGCAATCGAAGGTCAACTTATGGAAAATAGGGGCATCGTTCCTCATTTAGGCGCTGAAGAAGGAACCCTTTTCGTTGGGGAGGGGCTCGGTGTTCCTTGATTGGTTCACAGCTTGCCTCAGGCTTTCCTGATGTTTTCGACAGGCAATCGAAGGTTGACTTATGGAAAATAGGGGCCTCGTGCCTGATTTAGGGTTCCTTAGGTCAACGCCCCGACTGTGTGCGGCCTCCCTGAAGCACTCGGAGGTAGAGGAGATAAAGGATGGAGGAGGGAAGAGGATCCCTCGAGGAGGAGGAGGAGGAGGAGGAGGAGGAGGAGGAGGAGAAGGAGGAGGAGAGGAGGAGGAGGAGGAGGAGGAGGAGGAGTGGGGCCCGTCGTGGAGAGCCTTCCCCAAGAGGCGAGGCGCGGTCCCCCTGGACTTCAGTCGGGCCCGTCCCTCTACAGGGAGCTCCTCCTGCTCCTCCTCCTCCTCCTCCTCCTCCTCCTCCTCCTCCTCCTCCTCCTCCTCCTCCTCCTCCTCCTCCTCCTCCTCCTCCTCCTCCTCCAGGGGGAATGTTCAGACATAGTCCAAAAACAACAATCAGGGGACTAGTTTTTGTTGAGCCTGTTTTTGATCCTTCTGGAGTTTTTTGTGTCGTCTTTCTCCAACGTTTCTGCAAAAATCCCCCCCTGGAGGGGGACACGCCCGACTTGGCCCTGGGCCCCCGCCAGCGGAGGCGGCGCGGGCCCCCCCCGGCCCCGCGCGCGGCCCCCCCCCCCCCCCCGGCCGCCCGAGACGCGCGAGGGCCCCCGCGAGGGAGAGGCCGCGGCCCGGGCGCCCCGCTCGAGCGAGCGGCCGCCGCGGCCGCCCGGGAGCCCTCCCGGGAGGCTCCCCGCGAGGGCCCCCCGCGCGGGGGGACCTCGCGCGGGCGGGCGGCACTCCTCGTCCTCCTCGTCCTCGTCCGCCTCGTTCTCCTCCTCGTGTTTCTCCTCTTCCGCCTTCTCCTCCTCGTTTCGGGGGTCCCCGAACGGGGTGGTGACCACACCGTGCGGTGAGTCGGTGGGGATTCGGGGTCACCGCACGGGTTTGGGGCGCGGGGCGTGCTCCGAGGGACGTCTCGGGCGACTAATTAGGGGCCTCCTGGGGTCCCAAGACCGTGCGGCGACGGACTGTGCGGTGAGGTCTTGGGGGATGTCGAGGTCACCGCACGGTCTGTCACCGCACCGTTTCGGGACTCACGGCCAACCCCTGGCGGGGAGACGCCTGTACCTCCCCTGGCGCCGGACTCGCAGACTTCGCCCCCATCGCTCGGCCGACCTCCTCCGGCTCGTCTCTTCGGCCCCCCCCGGGGGGCCCCAGAGGTGTGGTAGGCAGGGCAGGAGCCGCTCGGTGAGATCCGTCGACTGCTGCACGCCAAAGGTTTTGAGAGAGAGAGAGAGGGGGACTGGTTTTACCCGCGCCCGTGAGGCGCCCTCCTCCGGCTCGTCTCTTCGGCACCCCCCGGGGGGCCCCAGAGGTGTGGTAGGCAGGGCAGGAGCCGCTCGGTGAGATCCGTCGACCGCTGCACGCCAAAGATTTAGAGAGAGAGGGGGGGACTGGTTTTGCCCGCGCCCGTGAGGCGCCCACGAGGCGCCCACGGGCGGGCACCTGGCGAAACTTCGGCGGGCCCACCCAGGGCACTGGGGTGAAGTCGGGCCTGCCCCTCTACAGGAGGAATATATTCAGAAATATTCAGATGACACCGGAGAGTCATACCCAATCAGGGCTATAGGGCTATTGAGCTATAGGGCAATAGAGCTATAGGGCTATAGAGTTGTAGGGCTATTGGGCTATTGGGCTATATAGGGCTATACGGCTATAGGGCACCCCCGGGCACCCCCGGGCACGCCCGGGCACCCCCGGGGCACCCGGACGTGCAGCAAAATCGGCGGCCAACCTCACCCCCGGGCACCCCCGGGCACCCGGGCACCCAGGCGTGCAGCGAAAATCGGCGGCCACGCTCACCTAACCATATGAATCCGCTAGGACCCCAACAGAGGCAACCTCTGATTGGGGAAAAAGGGGAAAAATAGTATGGGGACTATTTTTTGAGTCTTGCTTGGCCATTTGGGGGTATGTCTTGATTTTTCCCAACCATCCTGTGGTGTTGGGTCCTCGTCTCTTTTGAAGAGACGGTGCCCCGCGTTCCCTCCTTCCTCCTCTCCTCCTCCCCCTCCTCCCTCCTTCCTCCTCCCACCATCATCATCGTCATCATCATCGTCGTCGTTATCATAATTTCGTGGCCCCATAGGGAGCTCCACCGAAGGCCCCAGAGGCTGCGTTAGCATGCGCCCACCGCACCCATTTCGGCACACCACTCACGCGTTTCGTGGCCCCATAGGGAGCTCCACCGAAGGCCCCAGCGTCTGCGTTAGCATGCGCCCGCCGCACCCATTTCGGCACACCCCTCACGCGCTTCATGGGCCCATTGGAAGCTCCACCGAAGGCCCCAGCGGCCGCGTTCGCATGCGCCCGCCGCACCCATTTCGGCACACCCGTCACACGGTTTGTGGTCCCATAGGGAGTCCCACCGAAGGCCCCAGTGGTTGCGTTCGCTTGCGCCCGCCGCACCCATTTCGGCACACCCCTCACGCGTTCCGTTGGCCCATAGGGAGCTCCACCGAAGGCCCCAGTGGCTGCGCTCGCATGCGCCCGCCGGACCCATGTCGGCACACCCCTCAGGGGTCAGCTCGCGTGTTCAGAGGGTCGCACGTTGGCTGGTGGGGAGGAAACGCGGGAGCGGTTCGTGGCCCCAGAGGGATCGCCACCGATGAAGATATGCACATTTGCGGTACTCACAATTGCACATGGTTGGGTCCTTCGCCAGGCTAATTTTTGACTCCTGTAGAGGGACAGGCCCGACTTCAGCGTAAGGCCTGCTGCCCTTAGGGGTTCTCATTTCCGGCTGCCGAATCATCGGGAGGGTCCGCCGGGGAAGCTTCCCGTCTCCGCCCGTTGGCGCTCTCGTGAGCGCTCGCCCCGTGCCCCGGGTGGACCCGCTGGAGTCTCCGACTGGTCGGGCCTGTCCCTCTACAGGAGGAATATTCCAAAAGAGTCAAAAATTAGCCTGGCGAAGGACCCAACCATGTGCAATTGTGAGTACCGCAAATGTGCATATCTTTTTCGGTGGCGATCCCTCTGGGGCCACGAACCGCTCCCGCGGTTCCTCCCCACCAGCCAACGTGCGACCCTCTGAACACGCGAGCTGACCCCTGAGGGGTGTGCCGACATGGGTCCGGCGGGCGCATGCGAGCGCAGCCACTGGGGCCTTCGGTGGAGCTCCCTATGGGGCCACGAACCGTGTAAGGGGTGTGCCGAAATGGGTGCGGCGGGCGCATGCGAACGCAGCCACTGGGGCCTTCGGTGGGACTCCCTATGGGTCCACAAAGCGTGTGACGGGTGTGCCGAAATGGGTGCGGCGGGCGCATGCGAACGCAGACACTGGGCCTAAGGTGGGACTCCCTATGGGGCCACAAAACGTGTGACGGGTGTGCCGAAATGGGTGCGGCGGGCGCATGCGAACGCAGACACTGGGCCTTCGGTGGAGCTCCCTATGGGGCCACGAAACGCGTGAGGGGTGTGCCGAAATGGGTGCGGCGGGCGCATGCTAACGCAGCCTCTGGGGCCTTCGGTGGAGCTCCCTATGGGGCCACGAAACGTGGAGGGGTGTGCCGAAATGGGTGCGGCGGGCGCATGCGAACGCAGACACTGGGGCCTTCGGTGGAGCTCCCTATGGGGCCACGAACGCGTGAGGGGTGTGCCGAAATGGGCGCGGCGGGCGCATGCTAACGCAGCCTCTGGGGCCTTCGGTGGAGCTCCCTGTAGGGCCACGAAATTATGATGACGACGATGATGATGATGACGATGATGATGGTGGGAGGAGGGAGGAGGGAGGAGGGGGAGGAGGAGAGGAGGAAGGAGGGAACGCGGGGCACCGTCTCTTCAAAACGAGGACCCAACACCACAGGATGGTTGGGAAATAACCAGGGGAATATTATTATCATTTGTATGATTGACATTATTATTATTATTAGTATTATTATTATTATTATTATTATGATTATTATTATTGTTATTATCATCATTATTATTATTATCAGTAGTAGCAATATTATCTTTATTTTTATTAGTATATGAGCATATCTTGACCATGTTGGATGATTTTTTGGTATTTCCAACTTTTCGTCCAAACTTTCCCTGTAGGGGGACAGGCCCGACCTAACCTTGCGCGTCCGCGGTCATGTCCCGAAGTGACAGTCCCTTGAATCCGGATGGCCATATTCCTCACATCCTCTCGTTCCTATGATTTACTCTTTCTCCCTATGGCTGGTTCGTCTGCTCATTTTGTTGCTTCGGCTTCAGCCTATGATGCGTATCCTGCTCGTGTCAACGTCTCTTGCTGATGATGATCATGCGCCTCCTCCTGCTTATCATCCCCCTCCTTGCGAGGCAGATGCTGCCTCGCAGAGGCACGGTGCTCGATCTGCAATGTGGGCCCACAAGAGGATGAGGAGGATGGGGGATGAGGAGCAGGAGGAAGAGGAGGAGATGGAAAAGGAGGAGGAGGAGGAGGAGGGGGGATTACAGGATGGACGAAGCGTGGGGGGAGTCTGACAAGTGTTTCTTCCCGCTCTTCCCTCGCGCATGGGTCGGAAGGGAGAGTGGCCAGCGGCTGCTCGGGGCCAGGAGAAGGCCAACTCGCAGCAGATGGAGCCAGAAGTGGTCGAGGCGGCCTTCAGAAGGGCCGGGAGATTATCATGTTTCTTCTCCTCTCCCTCAGACTCCTCCTCCTCCTCCTCGTCCTCGTCCTCCTCCTCCTCCTCCTCCTCCTCGTCCTCCTTCTCCCTCTCCCTCTCCTCTCCTCCTCCCTCTCCTCTCCCTCCTCGTCGCCCTCTCTCCCATGGTCCTACCCCGCCTGATGCTCACCCCTATCTATACTTCTCCTCCTCCTCCTCCTCCTCCTCCCTCCTCCTCCTCCTCCTCCTCCTCCTCCTCCTCCTCCTCCTCCTCCTCCTCCCCTCCCTCCGGATGCTGTCTGGCCCCGGCACCGGCCTCCCCTGTGCCCGCGGACCCGCGCTTCACAACGGCTCGTGGCTGCGAGCAGGGTGGCCTGCAGTGATTGGGCGTCGCTCGCTGACTCCTGCTGGTCCTGCTTGCGGTCAAGCGCTGCAGTGATCACGCAGGCCAAGGGCCCGGCGCGCGCCCCACGCCTCGGGAGGGCCCAGGGCACAGGCAGGCAGGTGCGCACAGATCCCAGGACGCCCCCTGTGTTTCCCTATCTTCTGCTTCGTATCGCCCCCCCCGCTTCCCACAGTTTCCCACATCTTCCCGGGAGTCGGCGACGAATTCTGTCTGTGTGTGTGATTGGGCGTCGTTCCTTGATTCCCGATGCTCCCACTGGCGGTCAAGCGCTGCAGTGAGCACACAAGCCATGGGCTCGCCTCCCCGAGTGGAGCTATCAGCCGTGCGGGCGCACCTGCTGCCTGGGCTCGTGGTGATGGTTCCACTATTGTTAAGTCGTGGTGATGATTCCACTATGTTTGAGTCGGCCGATCCCATTTTCAAGGGGCACTTTTTCGGAGACGGTGAAAAAACGGCCCGGCCGTTTCCAGGGCCCACTAAGGCCTGGACGAGGTGGAGCCCTGCAGAAGGTGCAGCGGCGAGTTCGCCTGGCCCTCCAGGGTCGGGGCCCGGCACAGGCCGCGCGACCTCCTTTCAGAGGCGGCTCCAGAGGCCGGCGGGGGATCAAGCGCGCAGGCTTCAGTCGGGCGTGTCCCCCTACAGAGGGATTTTCGACGAAAGATTAAAGATACCCCCAAGATAGTCAAAGATTATCAAACAAATAGTCTGGGGACTATGCTCAAATATTGTTTGACCTTTTTGGTGTATGTTTGGAGTATTTTTCATTTTTCGTCGAAGATCCCACTGTAGGGGGGCGGGCCCGACTTAACACTATTGTCGGTCTCTTTGGGCTCCAGGTCCTGCACTAGAAGATGCTGCCAAGTTGACTCTGTAGCTGCTGCGACTCACGGAGCACGTCGATTCTGCCGCTTTGCAGCATAGCGAGACACCGGCGAGGTTTCTTGGCGATCCGGCCTTGCCCCAGCTTGCCTGGGGACATTGATTTCGGCAGCGGCGAAGGCGATCCCCGCGCCGCCATCGTTGCAGCATCGGTTGCCCCTGCTCGAGGTCATCGGTGGGGAGCAGCCGAGCCGATGTTCGCGGTGCGAGCCGAGGGCGCCGAGCTTTCGCAGCACGACTTTGCAATGTGACTGACATCGAAGGCACGGCTCCACGCAGCGTGATCGCTTGATTCTGGCTTCTACCGACAGTCACCATCCACCAAACCACCCCAACCCAACCCGAAGACTTCAATTTGCCCTCCATTTCCAGTGTGGGGGGGTCCGGGAACATCGAAAAAACACATATGGAGCCCATACCCCCCCAAACCCGAAATTCGGGTCTTCGGGTTGGGTTGGGGTGGTCTGGCAGGTAGTCAGACAGTGCGGCGCAGTCCTTTTCGGAGCCCTGTCGCAACAGAAGTTAGATGGTGCGCAGTCGTTGATATATTTGAGAAGGTTTTGGTTGCATTTCAGAGCGCGCTTCCGTCCTTGGCCGAGCGGCGGCGGCGGCAAGCAAGGATATTTGTTTCGTGGTTCCACCTGTCGGGGAAACGCAAGACCCGAGTAAGCCGGAACTCGGGTTTGCCGACGCTTTTTTGACGAGCGCGTCCTGGATTTTGACGGTCCAGTTTTCGTGGGATGTCTGCAGCGAGGGCTCGCGTCAAATTTTAGATTGGGCCTCGTCATTTTTTTGTAGGCCCCGTCGGGCCAACCCGAGTCCCCCGTACCCGAGTCTTACGTCTCCCCGAACCTGGGCTGATAAGTGTGTTCAGAGAGTTGTGGCCAGAACCAGTCTGGACCTCAAGACCCACAGCCCCGCGGATCTTCGGATGATTTGCTTGTCGTGCTCGTGACGATTCTTGCAGGGGGTCCCATCGCACCCGCCAATACGATCCCGAGTTGTCATGTTGGTCTCGAGTACGCCATGCTTGGGCTACGCACGTCTTACTGAGGAATGGGCAACACTTGCGGCAAGGCAGGCAGAAATCCAATGGCATTTGAGCATGTCTCACATGCAGTGGGCAGAGACAGTGTCACCGTTTCTTGCACTCCTTTCGCGCATGAAGGAGGATTGTCGCTGAATTGGATTCTTAGGGCGGCTTACAAGGCCGTTTTTTAGGGGGGTGGACAGGTCTGGGCTGCAGAATTATATTCCCGAGTTGAGTCTTGCTGTCCGCCGTGGGCGGGGAGGACTTGCGCACGACAACCATGAGGAAGTCTAGTGCACTGTTCGTGGGCCTGTTCCTGCGCTGCTCTTCCAGACCTTGCCAGTGGAGGAATGTCACAATGTCGTGGGCCTGGGCCTGCCAATGAGTTCCTCGCCGTTGCCTCTATAGGCGAACGCCAGGCCCTCCATTCGCCTTTCAGCCAGCCTTTAGGCTATGCCAGCACGCTTCGCAACCTGTCTCTCGGCATATCTTCTTGAACGCGACGTAGCAAAAGTCAAGGTTCACACCGTGTATAACAGTCTCTGACGGCGTGATCAGCTTTTTAAGCTGGGAAGTGACGAGGCTGTTAGAGCGGTCAGGGGCGGTGTTTGGAGCCACTCGCAGTCCAGTCCTCGTAATCCGAGTTCGACTGCAGGTCTGTTCAGCTTCATGTTGTGCGTTCAGCTTCTCGCAATCCTGCCACAGTCCTGTCTGAGCAGCCCAGGCTCGCCTCGGTCGCGTGCCTCGTGTCGATTGCACTGGGGGTGCAGCCGAAAGCTGCCAGCTTTTCGCAGCACGACTGTGCACCTTGCTGTGCGTTTTAGAGGTCCCAACGTGGACTGAAGTCCAGCAGGAGAGCATACCCCCCCAGTAGTTGTTGTTCTGTCACGTTGCCTGAAGGTGTTCTCGCCCACGTCCAGCAGATGAGTACCCTCTGCGTCTTCAGTTGCAGCGAACATTTGTTGTAGTCGTTTTGGCTGTCATGTCTGAACGCTTGCTCAAAGGGCCACGCGTACACGACTGAAGGTCAAATGAGGAATACCTCTCGCGGTTGTCTGATCCAGCGTCGGTCTATAAGTTTGCGAAGTCAGTTGCGGGTGTTCGGTGTGAGCTCCGTAAGATATCACATGTCCATGTTGAAATGCTTACCATGGCGAGCAAGCAAATCTATCCTGCGACTTCTTCCCTCTTCTCCTGCCGCGTCTCTCTCTCTCTCTCTCTTCCTGTCCATCTCTCCCCAGTCCTGCGGCTGCTTTTCCGCCGACCTCCCCCGTCCCACCCACTCCGTCCTCCCCCCGCCCCTTCCCCCCTTACCACATGGTAAGCCTGCGAGAACCCTCGGATCCGGGATGTTGGGGTAGGGGGCCACATGCGAACCCTACCCCTACCCCCCACGACTTCTGAGAGGAAGGGTGGGGTTCACTTCGTTCGGGAGCTCCTGAGCGAAGTGAACCCCACCGGAGGAGGAGGAGGAGGAGGAGGAGGAGGAGGAGGAGGAGGAGTGCTGGGCGAGCGCGAGCAGCGTTCACGCCCACTCGTCCACAGAGGCTGTGCTCCGCTCGTGCGCGCACGGCGCCGCCGCGCACACCTCGGCCGGCGACCCGTCCAGCAACTGCTGTGAGCGCCAGCGGTGACCACGCGCCTTCCTTCGGAAGAGCCCTGTCCACCTCCTCCTCCTCCTCCTCCTCCTCCCTCCTCCTCCCTCCTCCCTCCTCCCTCCTCCCTCCTCCCTCCTCCCTCCTCCCTCCTCCCTCCTCCCTCCTCCCTCCTCCTCCTCCTCCTCCTCCTCCTCCTCCTCCTCCTCCTCCTCCTCCCCCTCCTCCTTCCCCCCTCCTCCTCCTCCTCCCTTTCTGCGCCCCCCTGGCTCCCGCGGGGCGAGTCGGTTAAGAGGGGGGTCCCCTCCTTGGCCCCGTCCAGTTGGAGCCACCTCTTTTGTGTCGCCCACTGCGTGGCAAGGTTGATCCTCACCGCGGCCGGCAGCCCCAGCAGCCTCAGCGCTTCGTCCGCGACCCAGCGACCCAGCGCCCTCGTCAGCACCCGGCAGTTGCGGGTAAGAGGGCGGGGGCGGGCGCGGGGTGGGTAGCAGGTGGATCGCAGGGGGGGTCGCGGAATCGTGTTCGCTTGATGTTGCGCTTCGCCTGCCCTTTTCCTCATTATAGTCGTCGTCCTCATCCCCCCTGTTCTCCCAGTCCCTCTTCTCAGCACAAGCCCGATGGTCCTGCCAGCCCGTCGAATTGGCCACTGCCACTCAAGCCACCGCGCCGCCCAGCGCTGCAGCTGGGTGCCCCGCGGTGGTCTTCGCCGATGCCGAGCCCGGGCTGCTGCTTCGGGGCGATCTGGCAGAACGGCAGGAGAAGCGAAGGCGCCCCAGGAAAGAGAAGAGGCTCGCAGGGCGACGCGTCCTGGTTCCACGCTTCGGACATTCGGACCGCCCTCCTGGAATTTCAGCGGCGCTGCGGCTCGGTGACGGCGACGAGCGTCCCGGCATTCTCGCTGCGGGAAAACGAGCTGCAGAAGCTGGTGTGCAGCGCCTACGGGCTGGTGGAAGGGATCCTCTCCGGCATCCACCAGCACCTGGGGGACAAGCTGCACCAGGTGGATGCCGAAGTTAGCGCGGTCTCACCAGGCACCCCGCAGGAGCTGTTGTCCATCTCGGTGAAGCTTGAGCCCCGAGTTT